GCCCCGCGCCCGCCGCGCCGCGCCGCCAGGGGGCGACACCGCTCCGCCAGCGCCGCCGACAGAGCGGGGGGCGGGGCTGGGGGGGGTGTGCCCGCGCGGCGCCGCTGGCCAATAGGAGGCGTGGGATTGGTGAGGGGCGGGGTTTAGAGAGAGGCATGGCGGCGCCCAGGTGTACCCGGATGGTGCGGGGCGCCATGATGTGTGGCGCGAGAGAGCGCGCGGGAAGGTCCCCGTGAGGGGTTTGTCTTTAGGGACAAGCCGGTTATGGCCGGTTTCCGGTCAGTGCACGGGGCCTGAGGACGGGCGCGCCACCACGGCCAGGCCCCATGCGCGGCACCGGCGGCGCTGCAGGGACCGGGCCCTGCCGCCATCGCTGCGCAGCGAGGCGGGACGCGGGGGCCTGTTGTAACCCGCGCGGTGATTGGCTCCCGCCTCACGGAGGGGCGGGGCTAAGGGGAACAGCAGCGCTGGGATTGGCCGGAGCGCGGCGGGGAGCTGCATGTGAGCTGGGAGTGGGTTGGGCTGAAGGAGAGCGGCGCTGCTGATTGGCTGCTGCGCGGCGGTGGGCGGGGCGACAGAGTGCATAAAAGGGTCTCGGCGGGCCGCCTCGCTGTATTTCAGTTTTTCCGTCTGGGGTTGGGAACGAGCCGCTCCCGCTGGTGCTGCCAAAATGTTCGAGGCGCGGCTGGTGCAGGGCTCGGTGCTCAAGCGAGTGCTGGAGGCTCTCAAGGACCTCATCACCGAGGCCTGCTGGGACCTGGGCTCGGGCGGCATCAGCCTGCAGAGCATGGACTCCTCGCACGTCTCGCTGGTGCAGCTCACGCTGCGCTCGGAGGGCTTCGACACCTACCGCTGCGACCGCAACATCGCCATGGGCGTCAACCTGTCCAGGTCAGCCTCTCGCGGGGCGCTGCCGTGGGGCGGCCCAGCAGGCCCGGCGGGCTGCGGCGCTCGGGGCAGCGGGGGACGGGGCTGTGAGGGGCGATGCGGGAGCGCTCCGGAGGTGTGCGGGGGGTCCCGGGGCCGCTCGGAGCCCCCTCAGCCTTTCTCTTCCCTCCCCACCCACCCCCGCCATTCCCCTCACGGCTCTCGCGCCGTTTTTCGCGGCGCGCGCCGGGGCCGTGACGTCACTGCCGGCGGCAAGTGGCGGGAAAAGGCAGCGCTGAGGGAGAGGGGCCGCCATGGCCCCGGGTGCGAGCGGCGGCAGCGTTAAAGCCCCGGAGCTCCCGGGACAGGACACGCAGAGTCCTGGCAGGGCTGCGGCAGGATGGGCGCTGCCAGCGCCTCCGGCTGGGGGTCCTTCCTGCCCCGCGGTGAGGCGTTCTGCGGCAGGGGAGGGACACGGGGCTCCCGCGGAGGGACAAAGATGAGGGGCCTGGAGCGTGTCCATGTCTGTGAGGAAAGGTTCAGGAGGTTGCTGAGAGAGGGGAATCATCGCTGTGTGTAAATGTCCACGGGAGGGGTCAGGGTGGATCCAGGATCTGCCCAGCCGTGGGACAGGAGAACAGGCAGGAGCTGAGGCACGGGAGGTTCCACCCCGTGGATGTGGAAGAGCTTTGTGGGTGACCAAGCAGAGAGGCTGGGGATTCTCCGCATACACTTTCCAAGGGTGTTAGAAGGAGATCCTGCTCGCTGTAATGTCACATCCCCTGCTGCTCTGCCATGAGTCACCTGCCTCTCTCCCTGCAGCATGTCCAAGATCCTGAAATGTGCAGGGAACGAGGACATCATCACCCTGCGGGCCGAGGACAACGCCGACACCTTGGCCCTGGTGTTCGAGGCACCCAGTGAGTTGGGTTCTGGAGCTCCTCTCTTGCTGGGATGTGTTCAGGCAGCTCCAGAAGCCACGGGGATGCAGGAGGGGGGAAATGGCAGTGGGTCCTGTAGGAGTGGGAGGGACTCCTGATTCTTGGAACAGTCTGGAGATTAAAACTTGATCAGGTTGATAAATATTTCCTTTGTGAGAGGAAGGCTCTTTCAGGCTGCACACAGATATTTTGGTTTTATCCTTAGAGCCTGTAAAGGCTGCCAGGGCATTCCCAGAGTGCCAGCCCTGAGGAGCAGAGGGAAATCTCAGTGCCAGGATTGAGGTGGTGCTGCCTGGGGGGCGTGGGGAGTGCCAGCAGTGCGGCTGCCCTCTGCCACTGCCACTTGGTGCCACTGAGCTTTGCTTCTCCAGACCAGGAGAAGGTTTCTGACTACGAGATGAAGCTGATGGATCTCGACGTGGAGCAGCTGGGAATCCCAGTAAGTGACAGCCTGGCACTGGGGGCACTGCTGTGGAGCTGGGTTCACACCAGAGCCTGGAACACAACGGCCTTGGGAACGCTGGACAGGCCTGGGGCTGGCAGGGTGGCACTGTGGGTGTCCCTGGGGGGGCCCAAGGACTGGCACAGTGTCACTGTGAGTGTCCAGGGCTGGCAGGGTGGCACTGTGGGTGTCCCTGGGAGTGCCCATGGGGTGGCACAGTGTCACTGAGAGTGTCCAGGGCTGGCAGGGTGGCACTGTGGGTGTCCCTGGGAGTGCCCAAGGGGTGACACAGTGTCACTGTGAGTGCCCAGGGCTGGCAGGGTGGCACTAGGAGTGCCCATGGGGTGGCACAATGATACTAGGAGTGACACAGCCCTAGCAGGGTGTCACCCTGGGTGCCCCAACCCTGTCAGGCTGTCCCTGTGGGTGTCACCATGGGTGCCCCAGCCTGGCAGGGTGTCACTGTGAGTGCCCAGGGGCTGGCAGGGTGGCACTGCAGGTGTCACTGTGAGTGCCCAGCCCTAGCAGGGTGTCACCCTGGGTGCCTCAGCCCTGGCAGGCTGTCACTGTGGGTGTCACTGCAGATCCCCCAGCCCTGGCACAGTGTCACTGTGAGTGCCCTGGGGCTGGCAGGCTGTCCCTGTGGCTGTCCTGTGGGTGTTCCTGTGGATGTCCCAGCCCTGGCAGGCTGTCCCTGTGGGTGCCCAGCCCTCTGTGGGTGTCACTATGGGTGTCCCAGCCCTGGCAGGGTGTCACTGTGAGTGCCCAGGGACTGGCAGGCTGTCCTGTGGGTGCCTCAGCCCTGTCAGGCTGTCCCTGTGGGTGTCCCTGTGGGTGCCCAGCCCTCTGTGGCTGTCCCTGTGGCTGTCCCAGCCCTGGCACAGTGTCCCTGTGGGTGCCCAGCCCCCTGGGGGTGTCCCCCTGGCTGTCCCAGCCCTGGCAGGCTCGCTGTCCCCCAGGAGCAGGAGTACAGCTGCGTGGTGAAGATGCCCTCGGCGGAGTTCGCGCGCATCTGCCGGGACCTGAGCCACATCGGCGACGCCGTGGTCATCTCCTGCGCCAAGGACGGCGTCAAGTTCTCTGCCAACGGCGAGCTGGGCAACGGCAACATCAAACTGTCCCAGACCAGCAACGTGGACAAGGAGGAGGAGGCTGTGAGTGGGGGGTGCAGGGCTCAGGGCTCGCCTGCAGAGTCCTGGGGGGATCCTGGAACACGTGGACAAGGAGGAGGAGGCTGTGAGTGGGGGGTGCAGGGCTCGCCTGCAGAGTCCTGGGGGGGATCCTGGAATTGGGGAAGGGTTTGGGTTGGAAGCTCACCGAGTGCCAGCCCTGCAGTGAGCAGGGACAGGGCCGTGTGCCCCTGGTTCCCCCGAATCCAGCCCCTCTGGAGCCCCTGATGCTCCAGGGTTCACCTACAAAGCCAGTTCTCTGCCCTGGGGGGCCAGTTCTCTGCCTGGAATTGGGGATGGGTTTGGGGTTGAGAGATTACCAAGTGCCAGCCCTGTAGGGACAGGGCTGTGTGTCCCTCTGATTCCCCTGATCCAGCCTCTCTGGTTCCCCTGATCCAGCCCCTCTGGAGCCCCCCTGTTGCAGGGCTCACCTGCAGAGCTGGCTCTCTGCCCTGTGGGGGATCCTGAATTGTGAAGGGTTTGGGTTGGAAGGTCACTGAGTGCCAGCCCTGCAGTGAGCAGGGACTGGGCTGTGTGTCCCCCTGATTCCCCCGAATCCAGCCCCTCTGGAGCCCCTGGAGCCCTGCAGTGTCACCTGGGGGCTCAGCAGTGCTGGGCAGGCAGGAGCAGCCCTGCTGGCCCTGGCCTGTGTGTGCCAGGGCTCTGGACTCCTGCCCTGCTTGCCCAGGTCACAATCGAGATGAACGAGCCGGTGCAGCTGACCTTCGCCCTGAGGTACCTGAACTTCTTCACCAAAGCCACCCCGCTGTCCCCCACGGTGACACTCAGCATGTCTGCAGATGTTCCTCTGGGTGAGTGCCACCAGCAGAAGTGGAACTTGAGGCCGGATTTGGTGCAGCCCCCTCTGAACACCGTTTTTTTCCGTTCTCTCCCCCAGTTGTGGAGTACAAGATCGCTGACATGGGACACCTGAAGTATTACCTGGCCCCCAAGATCGAGGACCAGCAGGATGGCTCTTAACTGGAGCAGCACTGGGCAGATCTGCTCCTGCCTGGAGGCAGCAATTCCAGAGCCTGGCAGCCCTGGGAGCACTGTAGCTGTGTCTTGTAGATAACTTTGTAAATATTTTTCAACTCTGCGTTTTGCTATCCTGGTATCATTGGAAATAGGAAAGCTGAGTTTTTTTAGTCTGTTCCTGTACTCCCAGCAGTCTCTTGGGTGCTGTTGCAGGTGAAATTTCTTACTCCTTTCAGCTGCTGTTGGAGAAGAGGGGCAATATTTAATGGGTCAAGTTGTATCCTGGAGTTTCCCCTGGGGAGCTGTAGCTTAGGGTTGCTGTTTTGTTACCCCACCAATTTATGTGACCTTCCTTCATTTATTTTTGAAGCCGATATTTTGACTGAAACTTGGAAAATGGAAATAAAAAATATAATTTCCTGGAGTATGTCGTGTTTCAGTGTGGTGAATGGGTGCTTTTGAAGCTGTGCTGGTGTACCCCGAGTCCTTCTCAAGGCCCAGAGTTCAGCTCTGAGGTGTGGGAGAGGTGCCACTCTGTTCCCTGGGTGTGGCACTTGGGGACAGGGGCTCGTGCTGGCCGTGGTGCTGGAATTCCCGGTCCTGTGAAGGCTTTTCCCAACCTTTGCCCGATTTTTTTTCCCGGGGACGAACCGCCTGGGAAGCTGTCCCCGGCAGGTGACAGAGGATGGCAGCAGGTGGCAGTGCCGGCCACGAGCGAGCCCCGCCGCTGCCTGGGAGGGACAGTCCCTGCTCGGGGCTGGGGACAGCACTGCTCGGGGTTGGGGACAATCCTGGCCTTGGGGACAGCACTGCCCCGGCCTTGGGGACAATCCCTGATCGGGGCTGGGGACAGCACTGCCCCGGCCTTGGGGACAATCCCTGCTCTGGGTTGGGGACAGCACTGCTCGGGGTTGGGGACAATCCCTGCTCTGGGTTGGGGACAGCACTGCTCGGGGTTGGGGACAATCCCAGCTCTGGGTTGGGGACAGCACTGCCCTGGCCCCGGGGACAGTCCCAGCTCTGGGTTGGGGACAGTCTCTGCTTAGGGTTGGCGAAAATTCCTGCTTGGGGTTGGGGACAGCATTCCCCCGGGCCCGGGGACAATCCCTTCTCGGGGTTGGGGACAGCCCTGCTCCGGCCCTGGGGACAATGCTGCCTGGCCCCGGGGACAATCCCTGCTCGGTCCTGGGGGTTGGGGACAATCCCTGCTCGGGGCTGGGCTCCTGCTGGGACCCGCACTCCTGCCCATCCCTGGCCTTGTCCCAGGCCAGCCTGGAGGGGACACTCAGGGACAGTGCCAGGTGTCCCCCCTACGGCACATTTCCAGCTGCCTCCCTTGCTGAGCTGCCTCCGGATCCTCCCCGATTTATCCTCCAGCACCTCCAGGAAAACATCTGGCAAGGCACATCTTCCACCCGGCCTGTTCAGCCGTTCCGGGGCTGTTCCCCATTAACCCGGGTTTGTTCCCCGTTCACCCGGGGCTGCTCCCCTCCATCCGGGGCTGTTCGGGCACAGGAGGCCGGCCCGGCCCCGCCGCTGCTCACCCGGGTTTCTTCCCCGTTCACCCGGGGCTGTTCCCGTTCACCCGGGTTTGTTCCCCGTTCACCCGGGGCTGTTCCCGTTCACCCGGGGCTGTTCCCCGTTCACCCGGGGCTGTTCCCGTTCACCCGGGTTTGTTCCCCGTTCACCCGGGTTTGTTCCCCGTTCACCCGGGGCTGTTCGGGCACAGGAGGCCGGCCCGGCCCCGCCGTGACCTGGAAGGGAAGCGGCGTCACCGGGATCGACTTCCCGGGGCCGGGGGGAACAGGCGGGGCCGGGATGGAGCGGGCGGGCGGCAGGTACCGGGCCGGGCCGGGCCGGGCCGGGCCGGGCTTCGCTGGGGGCTTGTGATGGGTTCGGGGTGGACTTACGGGCGGCAGGTACCGGGCCGGGCCGGGCCGGGCCGGGCCGGGCCGGGATGGGCTTCGGCGGGGGCTCGGGGTGGGTTTGGGTGGGTTCGGGATGAATTTGGGGTGGTTCAGGTGGATTCGGGGTGGTTTGGGATGAGTTTGGGTGGGGGTTCGGGGTGGGTTTGAGTGGATTTGGGGTGGGTTTGGGTTGGAGTTTGGGTGGGTTCCGGTGGATTTGGGGGGGTTTAGGTGGGTTTAGAGTGGTTCGGGATGGATTTGGGGTGGTTCAAGTGGATTCGGGGTGGTTTGGGATGGATTTGGGGTGGTTTAGGTGGATTTAGGGTGGTTTGGGATGGATTTGGGGTGGTTTGGGATGAGTTTGAGTGGGGGTTCGGGGTGGGTTTGAGTGGGTTTAGGTGGATTCGGCGTGGATTTGGGGTGGGTTTGGGTTGGAGTTTGGGTGGGTTCAGGGTGGATTTGGGGTGGGTTCAGGTGGATTTAGGGTGGTTTGGGGGTTCGGGGTGGATTTGGGTGGGTTTGGGTGAATTTGGATGGTTTGGGTGGGTTTGAGTGGGTTTAGGTGGATTCGGCGTGGATTTGGGGTGGGTTTGGGTTGGAGTTTGGGTGCATTCAGGGTGGATTTGGGGTGGTTCAGGTGGATTTAGGGTGGTTTGGAGGTTCGGGGTGGATTTGGGTGGGTTTGGGTGAATTTGGATGGTTTGGGTGGGTTTGAGTGGGTTCCGGTGGATTCGAGGTCGACTTGGGGTTGTTTGGGTGCGTTTAAGTGGATTTGGGGTGTTTTGGATAGATTTAGGGTGGGTTTGGGTGCGTTTTGGGTGGATTTGGGGCGTTTTAAGTGGATTTAGGTGGATTTGGAGTGGATTTTGGGCGTTTTGGGTTTATTTGGACTGCCTTTGGTGTGTTCCGGGTGGATTTGGGGCATTTTAAGTGGATTTAGGTGGATTCAGAACAGCCTGGTAAATAATGGGCCAGTGGGTAAGAAAAGAGAGCAGAATGGGGCACAGGTGGGAAATCTGGCACCTTTCAGAAAGTTTGGGTTATTCTGGCTGTTTCCCCTCGAGCCTGGGGGTGTTTGGGTCAACAAGGATGTGTGGGGAGCAGGAAATCCACCCTGCAGGTGTTTCCATTATCCACAGGGCCAAAAATGTTTTGTCCGTGTTTGGGTTTTGCCACTAAAACAAAAGCCCAAAGTTCAAACCAAAGGTTCAGTGGTGGAAATTTCAGATCAGAGGGGATTTTATAAAAGTCAATTTTACAGCAGGAGGAACGAAGCTGGGTGGGGAATGTGCCAGCACTTAGGGACAAAGGGCTCAGTTCAATGGAGACTCAGGATTTGAGAGGATGCATCACCTCTGATGATGAAAAATGTTGTGGAAACAGAATTTTTATCCCTTCCTGTTGGCACCGCTGGAATATCTACTTTTGTTCCCTTGGTTCCAGACTTTCTGAGACAATAAAAGCTCCATTGAGGCTTTGGGGGGTGTGGGGAGCCCTTCCCTGCCTGTCCCCTGGGAATCTGTCCTGCTGGGAGGGTGGCAGGGGGAGCTTGGCAGGAGGCTCCTGGGCAGCTCTGGCTCTGCTCCCTGCCCCAGGCTGTCCCCTGCCACTGGCACCCTGCTCTGCACACCTTGATGTGCCCTCACCTCTCTCTGTCTCCTTGTCCTGCTCCTCTGAGTCACTCCTGCTGTCCCCATGGCAGCTCCATCTCCTTCCAGTGGTTTGCGTTGCTTTTTGTGTTTGGTTGGTTCTTTGGGTTATTTTTTTTTCCCAAATTGCTCTCTTGCTCTCCTGCAAAGTCTCCTGGTGGTTGAAAAGCTGCTTTGTTTAGCTCTGGTTTGGGTTTGTTTGCTGCTGTCCTGTTCAGAAAGAGCCAGAGTTGGACATGTGCAAGAGCTGGGTCATTCCTGGGCCCTGCCCTGGAATTTCCAGCTGGTTTAAGCACAGGTTCTCCCTTGACTCCAAACATTGTTGCAGCTCGATCCATTTTGTATTTCAGGCTTCAAGTGAAATGCTTAGCTCCTCTGTGGGAAAAGTGTTAATTTACAGAGGGGAGCAGAGCTGTGTTGGGTGGCACAGCCTTGACAGGGGAGTTTCTCCTCTGAAACAACAGCTCTGTCTCTCAGACTGCCATCCCTCAGTCTCCTCTCCTGTTTCTGCCCCTGGCCCTGGCTCCCAGGCTGTAGCTGATGCCCAGGCCCCCCTGGAATGATGCCATCCAGGACCAATCTCTCGGCTGGGATCCCCAGCAGCAAAGTGAAATATTCCAAACTCGCCAGCACCGATGATGGATACATTGACCTGCAGGTAAAAGTGGGGAAGGAGGCGGTGAATCCACGAGGGCAGAGCCAGGAGGGAGCCAGACCTCAGCCCTGCCCCTCTGGAGAGCCCAAAGAGCCTTCCTGGGAGCAGGGGCTGGCTCAGCAGGGCCTCAAGGGCAGATTCCCCCTGGAGGGCAGCTCTGGAGCAGAATTTTGTGCCAGCTGTGGGGTCCCATCTGTGCTGTGGTGGGAGGGGAGCCGTGCCGAGCTCAGCCGTTCAACGTTTGGGTTTTTCCACCCAGTTCAAGAAGAGCCCACCCAAAATCCCCTACAAGGCCATCGCGCTGGCCGTGGTGCTCTTCATGATCGGGACCTTCCTCATCATCATCGGGGCCCTGCTGCTGGCAGGGTACATCAGCAAAGGGGTGAGTGCTTCTGACACCCTGGCACTGGTCCTGCACTGCCCCGAGCCCCCACTGCCCACCAGGGGACACCAGGGGAGGTTTCAATTCAGAATTAGGAAAGGTTTGATGTGGGAAATGCCTGCTGCAGTGCCCAGCCCTGGGAGGGTTCAGAACATGAGGATGTGGCACTCCAGGCCCTTGGGGTGGTGCTGGGTCTTGCTTGGACTTGATGACCTTGAAGGTCTTCTCCAGCCTCAAGGATCCTGTGATGGATCAGTGCAGAACCTCAGAGCCACGGGGAGTGAGCAGGGAATGGATCTCCAAGGAGGGCTGAGTGTCCCTGGGGAGGTCACAGCCCTGTCCTGGAGAGGTCTCAGGGACAGGGAGGAGCTGCCAGACCCTGCGTGGGGCACAGCACCATTCCCCATCTGGCTGTGGGTGATCCATGGGCAGGATCTGCTCCTGCAGCTCTGGGTGCCTCTCCCCCTGCTGCCTGGGCTCAGGGGGGTTGGCAGCTCTGCCTTATCTCTGGCAGCAGCAGCAGCTCCTGGGGCTATCAGCACAGCTCCAGGCACAGATCCCCGGGCTCGTGCTCGCAGCTCCCAGCCCTGGCTGCACCTCCAGGGGGTCCCTGGTGAAGGATGGGGTCCCTCGAGGGGTCCTGCAGCAAGGAGGAGAGGCCAGGGTGGGATTAGGGGTGCAGCCTGATGACAGCTGAGCTGTTTCTGGTGGAAGATGGGTTTTTATTGCTCAGCTCGCCAGGCCTTGGGGATGGATCACAGAACCACGGCACGGTTTGGGTTCAGAGAACCTTCCAGATCAGCTGGTTCTCAGAATTCATTCACATCTCACCTGCCTTGGGCAGGGCAGCCTTCCCCTGGACCAGGCAGGGTGTGAGAGGGAGGAGAGCCCCTCTCAGAGGTGTCACTGTGGTGCCTTGGCAAGGCTGAGCTGGAGCAGGGTTACAGAATAAAGCAGGGATTTATGAAAAGGATCTCCTCAGTGGATGCACCCTGGGCAGCACAAGAGCCCAGCCAGGGCTGCACCCAAGGTGAGCCAAAATGGGCACAAAATGAGCCCAGGATGAACCAAAATGGGCACAAAATGCATGACAGGTCACGAGGTCTGTCCCTTTGATCAGTTCTGCTCCATTTGCATATTGGAGCTAATTGTCAATTACAGCTTTAGGTTATTATGAAGTCCCATCCTTGTTTTTCCCTCTTCATTCCACGTTGTTGTGCTCTTGGGTGGGATTTGGGTGGTTGTCCTTAGTCCCCAGCTAGAGAAGGAATTGTTTTGTCTCCCTGCCCTGTGCAGAGAGCTTACAACACTTCACACGAAGCTCAGAACTGCACACTAAAGCAGCACAGAAGCTGAAAAACATAAAAAGCTGAACCCTGAGGTGTGGCATTCACATTCTCTGAACAGAGACAGACATCATTCTCTCTCTCAGGCTTTTTCCTGGAGAAGCACAGAGGGAAAACAATTTTTACTTCTGCTTGCCGCTCCTGGTGTTTTGCACGCGTAGAATGCGTTGGGAAGATTGAAGGAATTTAGTGATTAGATTGTCTACCTGAAGGAATTCAGTAATTAGATTCTGATGGAGATTGTTTATGTTAATTAACCTGTCAGGTCCAAGCTGTGTGGACTGTCAGTCTGCAGACAGTGACAAGTTTTCCAGTTGGTATGATGCAGTATAAGATAGTTATAATGTAATATAAACCAGTTTTTTACCAAAGCAAGCGTTCAGCATTCCACATTTGAGCCAGATACAAAGAATTTCCTGTCTTGAGGGTGCCCTGCACTGCTGGCCCGAGCTGAGGTGCTGCTGTGTCCCTGCAGGAGACCGAGCGCGCCATCCCGGTGCTCATCATCGGCATCCTGGTGTTCCTGCCCGGCTTCTACCACCTGCGCATCGCCTACTACGCCTCCAAGGGCTACCGGGGCTACTCCTACGACGACATCCCCGACTTCGACGACTGAGCTCTTCATTAACCCCGCGCTAATTAGGCTGCTCACAGCTGGTAGTTCCCCCTGGGTGCTGGCGGGGCGCGGCCCCGGCGCGGCGCCGTGGCCCGGCCTCGCGGTGTTGCAGTTTGGGGTTCCCAGCTTGGACCTGAACAAAAGGAATTGCAAAGAATTTGGGGTTTGTGGGGTTTTTCTGGCCTCGAGGTGTTGCAGTTTGGGGGGTTGGAGGGTTTCCAGCTTGGAATTGACCAAAAGGAATTGGAAAGAATTTGGGGTTTGTGGGGTTTTTCTGGCCTCGAGGTGTTGCAGTTTGGGGGGTTGGAGGGTTTCCAGCTTGGAATTGACCAAAAGGAATTGGAAAGAATTTGGGGTTTGTGGGGTTTTTCTGGCCTCACGGTGTTGCAGTTTGGGGGTTCCCAGCTTGGAGTTGAACAAAAGGAAATGGAAAGATTTTGGGATTTTATTCCGGCCTCGAGGTGTTGCAGTTTGGGGTTCCCAGCCTGGAATTGACCAAAAGGAATTGCAAAGAATTTGGGGTTTGTGGGGTTTTTTCCGGCCTCAAGGTGTTGCAGGTTCTCCGTTTTGGGGGTTTGGGGGAATCCAGGGGGGTTCCCAGCTTGGACCTGAACAAAAGGAATTGCAAAGAATTTGGGGTTTGTGGGGTTTTTTCCGGCCTCAAAGTGTTGCAGGTTCTCCGGTTTGGGGGGTTGGGGGTTCCCAGCCTGGAACTGATCAAAGGGAATTGCAAAGAATTTGGGATTTATGGGAGTTTTTCCTCTCGGGGTTGCATAATTCCACTCCTCCTGGGCGAGGCAATCCTTGCAATTTTCCAAAAATAGATGAGCTGGTTTCAGCTGCAGATACTTGTTTGGTTTTGTTTTTTGTTTTTTTTTTTTTTTCTCTAAGTGTTTTCTAGAATTTATTTTAGCTTTCCATGAGATTGTGGTTATTGTTGGGTTACCTTTGCAGACAGACCATCATTAAACTCTCCTTTTGCTCTCTGTCCACCAGAAATGCTTCCAAACCACTGGCCCTGCAGTAAATAAAGTCTGATGAGAGTGGGGAAAGCAGCAGGAAGGGGTTTCCACCTCCACAGCTCCCTGTGAGAGTGGCCAAGCTCATTTCCCCCAACAAACACCTCCTGCCATGAGCTCTCCCCGTGCCACTGCTGCTGTTTCCAAGATCTGCTTGTCCTGCACAGGACTGGTGCTGGAGTTTGCTTGTCATTAAACCACCAAATGGATACTGGGAGAGGGATTGGAACCCAGACTCCACTGTCCAAATACCAAAACTCTTGGGCTTGGCTGCTGTGGGTGTTGGAGACCTTGAACTCCAGCTGTCTGTCCTCTGAGTCCTTTTGTCCTCGTGCAGATAATTTGCTGTGCAGACCTGCCCAGTGAAGAGAAGTTCTGTGACCAAACCCCTCTGATTGCTTTGCTGATGTGCATTCAGGGAAAACAGAGATGGCTCCACTTCTGTGAGGTCAGGCCAGGCCTGGACGAGGAGCAGCGATGCAAGTGGGTGCACTGGACATGAGTAAAGTTCTGTGTTCTCTGAAACCCCAGGTTTGTCCTTCCCACCTTCACGGGTGTCAGAGTGCACGAGAAACTCTGCTGGGCTTTGGCTGCTGCTGCCTGCAGCTCCCAGGAGGCAGAGCTGGAGCAGCCCCAGCAGTGCCAGGCACTGCCCAGCTGAGCCCAGGTCCCAGGTGGGCAGAACATTCCAGAAGGAGGGGGCAGGAGTGACTGCCAGTGGCTGGACAAACACCTCCTCCTAGAATTGCCTTTTTTCCTCCTTCAGTGCTCCAGATCAAACCCAAACCCTGAGCCAAGGTGGTTTTTTAACCCTTCACTTGTGTGCACTTCCCCAGCACTGAGGAAGAACTGGTTGAACTGTTAAATTCAGGATTTCCACCTCTGGAGGTTCCCTCCCTGCTGCCAGCCCCAGCTGGGGCACAGGGGACAGGGACACACGTGCTGCTGGCAGCAGCTGGAATGGGGCAGTTTGGCCAGGAGAATCAGCCTCTCTTCATGAATCAGCCTCTCTTAGGGGACAAGAACTGCGTTTATTTGGGTTTGGGGAGCGGGGGCAGGAAGTGGAAGGGAAGTTTGGATGGGAAAAGCAAAGAGGGAGGGAGGAGATGAAGCAGTTTGGGAAGGGGGGGTCACCTAAGTGGGATGGATGAGGGGGACAGCAGAAGGAACTGGAGTTGGGTGATCCTTGTGGGTTCCTTCCAGCTTAGGGCATTCTGTGATTCTGAGAACATGCTGGAGGAAAGGAATTCATGAATTTCCTTTGCTTTGACAAGAGGAAAAGTCCTCAGGCAGCAGTGGATAAATAAGCAGGGCCCTGTGAGGGATGGCCAGATGAAGAAGTCCTCTCTGCAGGGGTTTTTATATCTAATTGGGGAAAAAAGAAACACTTCTGGGAGAGAAAAGGGGATTCTGAGCACTGGAAATACAGGGATGCAGAGGACTTCACTCTTCAAACACTTCTAGGAGAGAAAAGGGGATTCTGAGCACTGGAAATACAGGGATGCAGAGGACTTCACTCTTCAAACACTTCTAGAGAAAAAAAGGGGATTCTGAGCACTGGAAATACAGGGATGCAGAGGACATGCAGGTTTTGGGGAGCCCAGACTGACTCCTGCAGCACGAGGGGAATGGGAAAAGGCCTGGGAAGGAGTTTGTGGTTCCAGAGCAGGGCTGGAATGACAAATCAGGCACTGATGGATGAGGATAGCTCTGAATAGCTGCTCCCTTTGTGGGGCATCCCCCGTTCTGGGCCAGGCAGCTCCTCAGGGAGGAACAGGCAGCATTTCAGAGCCTGATGGTGTTACCTTGCACAGGAGCTCTGCAGAAAGAGCAGGCAGCCACATCCCAGGCTCTTCTCTGCTTTGTGAGTGCTTGCATTGGTGTCTCTCAATGCCCTTCTTCCACTGCTGCTGCAGGGTGGAGTTACACACTTAATTACCTGCTTCATTTAATGCCATGGAATTGCTGGAAAGATTTGGAAAGGTGATTCTGCAGTCCTGGGAGCTGCCAGCAGTGCCCAAGAAATCCTCCTGCTGTATTTGTTATAAAAGATTTTAGGCAATCTCATGACTGGATGGTTTTTTTTGTTCTTTTTGTTTGTTTGTTTGTTTGTTTGTTTTTGGGTTTGGGGTTGGGTTTGTTTGGGTTTTTTTTGTTTGTTTTTTGGGGTTTTTTTTGGGGGGGGGTTGTTTTGTTTTGTTTTGGCTTGGTTTTTTGGGGTTTTTTTGGGTTTTTTTTGAGTGAACAAAGCCAGAATAATCCAAAGTATTGTGCAAATGGTGCCATAAACCCCAAAGGGGACATCACCCAGCCCTTGGACCTCCCAAGCACTGCAGACACCTTTGGTTTCCCCCTCCCAGCTCAGGGCAGTCCTGCCTTCACTTCCTGCCTCCTGAGCCTGATGAAAAGGAGATTTCTGCCCTTTTCCCAGGGCTCTGTGCTGACCCAGCTGTGCCCCCCTGCTCCCACTCCTGTGTCCTGTGTGGAATGTGGAAGTGCACATGCACAGCAGCTCCTCTCCCCTTCCTGAGCACAAAAGCAGCCTGAGGATTTTTAGGAATGCTGGATTTGACTAAAAATAGTCCAGACAGTCCTGCAAGACCACGACAGAGCCTCCCAAGAGAGCTGGCTTTGTTCTGTGCTGGAGCCAAGGGTCAGGGGGTGGAAAACTCGATTTTTGATTAGAAATTATTGTTTGCAATGGATTGAACTGCCTGCTTTGCTGCTCTGGGCTCAGGTTTGTGCTGGCACCCCTGAGGCCTTTTCTTCCCTGCTTAGGAAGGTGTTCAGGAACTGCTTTTAATCAGAAGAAAGGCAATTAGTGGGAGCTGTTGTGTGGCCTGCATGGAGAGAGCTTTCTTGTGATAAGGATCAGGAAGTGACATTTCCTTCCTGCACCTGCACTTGGGCTGGATGCTGAGCCAGGGAGCTGCCCTCCCACACAAGGCAGAGCCAGCACAGCCCTGCAGAGCTTTTCCAGCTCTGTTCTCTTCTCCAGAACTGTGATGAATCTTGGAGAGGACTTTCAGCCCCCGTGAAACAGCAGGTTTGGCACTGGAGCAAAAATTCTGTGGAGGAATCACAGTTTCACCCTGGGCTGTTAAAGCAAAGGGCAGCAAATCCACTAGTCACCACTAATTAATTCTGTTTTGAAATATTTACTTGGGCTGAAGTAGTAGCTGCTCTTAAGTCTTTAAAGGATTAGCTGCCTGCTACTCTTTCGTGCCTGCAACCATTTATTTAAGCTGTTGCTGCAAATCATGCTGTTAACCTGTCAGGAGAGGTTTTAACCTTCCTTCTCTTGTCAGTGGGAAACGCCTGCTGCAGATGGCCCTGCTGATGTGACAGAAATTAAACACCCACTCGGGTCCTCTGAGCTCTTCTCCCCAGCTTCTTCAAGGAAAGGCAAGCCAGAAAATGCACGTAGTGATAATTGTCTGCATCAGGGTGTTCAGAGGCTGAGGAGGGGCTGTGAGGAGTTAGAGAACATCAGCTGGGTCATGCAGGAGCCTCAGTTTCTGAATTAAAGTCGTGGGTAGCAAAGGAAATGCTCAGGATCTAGAACAAACCCTTAAAGAAAACAGAACTCACCTCAGCAGGGATTATTTCTTACTCTCAGGTAAATGTTTGGTGTAAAAGGGAAAGATCTCAGGTCCTTAAACCTACAAATACTAATTAGCATCACCATACAATTTTCTAGCAGTTTTCATTAATGTGGCATCAGAAGAAGTCTGCCAGCACCTATAATCCTCATTTTTCTTGTCTCTCAACACTAACAGTCCCTAGCACACCATGACCTCTTCCCTGCTATTTTGGGTGGTTCTTTTCCAGACAAATGCCTTATTTTCTCTGTATTTGATACTGGAGGTCAAGAGAATCCTCTCTGCCTTTTATTGCACAAGAACAGAGGCAGGATTGTAACAGGGCCAGTGCAAATGTGTGCCTAAAAATAAACCAGTGGATGGTCTCCAGCTTCAAGCACAAAAAGAGCATTTGTGGAGGTCTCTCTTTGTTGCATGATCGAGTTTCAGATCACTGAGGAGCCACTTCAAAGTTCAGCTCACAAGCAGGTCGTGGTTTAATCCTCCCCATGAAACAAAGACAACTCTGTGACTGGGATCCATGGTCAGCTGCCACCCTGAGCCCCTGGAGCTGGCAGAGCTCACTTGGGATGGAGCATCCCTGGGGCAGGGGCAGTGTCTGGGCTGCTGCCTCCCACCCTGGGCTGCTGCTTCCCACCCTGGGCTGCTGCCTCCCACCCTGGGCTGCTGCCTCCCACCCTGGGCTGCTGCCTCCCACCCTGGGCTGCTGCCTCCCACCCTGGGCTGCTGCCTCCCACCCTGGGCTGCTGCCTCCCACCCTGGGCTGCTGCCTCCCACCCTGGGCTGCTGCCTCCCACCCTGAGGTGCTGCCTCCCACCCTGGGCTGCTGCTTCCCACCCTGGGCTGCTGCTTCCCACCCTGAGGTGCTGCCTCCCACCCTGGGCTGCTGCTCTGCTGCCTCCCATGCTGCCTCCTCTCCTGGGCTGCTGCCTCCCACCCTGGGCTGCTGCCTCCCACCCCGAGTGCTCTCCTGGGCTGCTGCCTCCCACCCTGGCCATGGGCCCAGGGCTGCAGAGGGCCAGGCAGGCCCACAGCCCTTCTGCCACCTCTGCTGGAAACAATGTGAGGGGCCAGAGCTTGCAGAACACTTCAGTGACACTGCTTGGCACCAATAAGGAACAGCAGAGAGGTGGCACTCCAGGCAGGGAAGGGGTTAAACGACTCACAGGGCAGTTCTGGGGGGAGAAGTTGGAGTTCGTTGTTCCAGGCTCTCTGTGGATTTCTGTTTTGTCCTCTCACCTGTGATTCTTGGTCCTCATCAAGGATGAGTGCTTCCCCTGGTTTTGTTGGCCTGTGAGCCTCTCGGGGCATGGCCTGTGCCCTCACCTGTGGCAGCAGCACAGAGGGGAGCTGTGCTGGCAGGCAGCTATAAATAGAGAGCCTGGCCAGCCCTGTGGCATCCGTGTGCTATAATTGCCTCTCTGCACCCCGTGACGAGCCCTGCTCCAGCTGTCAGGGCAAGGAGGAGCTGCAGGGAGCCCCCCCAGTCAGTCCCAGCCCCTGGAGTTCTCTCCCTCTGCCTCGGGGAGTTCTGCTTTTCCTCTGGGAGTGTGACCACTCCTGTGTGTGCCCAGTGGGATTTGGGCAGCTCAGTTTCAGCAGCTGCTTTGTAGAGGGCTCGTGGTCTAATTCATGCCTCAGCACCTTTGTTTATTTTGCCTTGTGGCCCTGGCTGGTGTGGCTGTGTCACTGCTGATGTCACCGTGTGCTGTGCTCACACGAGGGATTAAGTGAGTCACTAAAAGTGGCCCAAGCCCTCCATCCTTCCTCTCTGAGGAATGCCTTGCCAGGGGGTGAAAGCAGAGACTGTGTCTGCTCTCACTTCTCTGCTGAGGGATGAGTAAGCAGCCACCAGGCACTGCTGTGCAGTCAAGGACCTTTTATTCTGTGCTATAAAATTCCTCTAATGGACTTCAAAATGATTTAGTGCACCGTGTCCACCTCATTTGGGAAGTAGTTTAAGTGGCAATGAGCTGCTCTGGTCCTGCTTACCCAGATCTGCCCACAGCAGCTGCTCTGTATTCCCAGAGCTTTGAACAGCCCCACATGAACGAGACACAAGGTGACAATCCCAGCTTGTCTCCCCCTTGGAGGAGTCCTTGCTGGACTGCCTCTGTGGGATTCACACAGAATGTTATTGTGAGGCAGGCTATTTTTTGAAAAATTTAATTTTTTAATATTATAAAAACTAAACTCAAAGCACACCAAGAAAACAAGAGTGGAAATGAGCTAAGGATCCCAGACCCAAACCAATAATAGCATTATTTGGGTCCATTGGAAGGGACCATCTCAGTTCCACTCCCCTGCCAAGGGTGAGGATGCCATTCACCAGATGCCATCCCTGGATGTGAAGTTTTGATTTGGTCTTTGGGACATGCTGTGCCCAGATCAATGATTCACATCCCAGCCGAGACAACACTTGGGGTTAAAATGGAAATTTTGAGTAAGAGATGCCGGCCAAAAACATTTCAGCCTTGAAATTTATGCCAGTAATATTTGTGCTGCATCTGAGGAAAACCCTGACCTGCAGCCCTGTCCCTTGATCCACACAGAGCCACGAAGAAACAACCCAAATAAAGCTGGGGAATGTCCCCAGTAAAGCTCCCTTGGGCTGGTTGGTGACAGGGTGCAGCAACAACCTGTTCAGGTAAATCCCTGAGTGAGCTTTGGGGAGCTCAGGTAATCCAGACTTTCTCCAGGATGGAGAAAACAAAGGGAATGTGTCTCCTTTTGGATCTCAAAGGTCAGCACACCAAATGATTGATGATGATGATTGATGATGCTGATTTCTCCTGCTGTGTGGTCATGAAGGACACATGGTGCACATCCCATGGTCAATTCTTCCAGCTTTTATCTGTGAATCATTCAGGCAGACAGGGATTGAATGTTTAGATAAATACCTCAGGGTTCTTTGCTACATTTTATTAACACAAATTATATATGCCAATAATCCCAGTAAAGCTTCTGCTTCTGCAGCAGGACAGTGATGGCATAAAAAGGGCTTTGACTCCCTGAAGAAGGGAAATGCCAGGGAATTTGCTCAAACTTTGCAGCACAGGAGGCCACCTGGAAGGGAATTTATCAATTTAAGAGGAAAAAGGACTGCAAAAGGCTTTACTGGGTTTGAGCCCATGGTTCCAGGGGGTCTAGCTGTGTCAAATTCAATTCTTAGAGCACTAAATCCACCTTCATCATCCTTCCCCTGCTTGTCCTTGGGATTATCAGGACCCTGAGGTCTTTATCTGTTACATTCCAATCTGACTGATGTGTTTTCCCTCTGCCACCTTTCACCTGGGTAGGGCAGGTTGGAAAATGATAACAATCCAATATAAAATAGCCAGAGCTGCGCCTCTGTCCCTGATCCTGAGCACACACAAACTCCTGTCAACAGCACAACTGCTGCAGCCTCCATCAACCTGGCATCACTAAAATGTCCCTCCTGTCACCTCCCCACCCTGACAAACAAAGGCTTTTAAGGTTTAAAAGCTGCACTGAAGCCTGTGCCTACATTTGGGACAAGGCCAGGTATTGAATAATGCCCAGGATCAATATCCATAATCAAGCCTCAGCCCTGCCCTCTATAGTTCTCCATATGTCTCACTGGAAAAACCTTTCAGAAGCTTAACCAGGAGAGTGATGCAGTGGAAAAAAAATATGGGAGGATAAGCACAAATGCTCCAGAGGCCTCCTGGGGTCTCTGGTCTTAAAAGTAAGCTGCTGGGTTTTAATGGGATCGGATGAAACCCTCTTGGTGGGGGGGGTGGGACAGCTGGTGAGCAAACACCCTGCCAGCATTCCTTCCTGCCAAACACTGCACAAGCAGCAAGGACCCAAAAGACCAACAGAGAGCTGCAGGTCTGGGTGGAACAGGGCCCAGCCGGGGAGCACGGCCATCACTCGGGGCTGCACCTTCATCAAACAGCAGCAGGGCTGGGGGAGCAAGCCCAGCACGGGCAGTATCTCCCCAAGGACAGCCAGTGCAAGGAGGAAGGGCAGGAACCAGCTGAGGGGCTCAGCCCTGGCTGCCCACACAGCCCCGAGCAGGGGAAGGAGCCAGGAGTGATGTGTCTGAGAACTGCACCTTCTGGGAAGGGCAGCACACAAATTAGAGAGTTAACGTTGTCAGGAGCCATTAGGGATGTCAGGTGCTGCCGAGAGGGACGTGAGAGAGGCAGAGTCCAGAGCTGGGTACCAGACGTCAGCAGTGCCTGAAAACACCCAGCTCTGTGGGCTGGCAGGGGGGATTTGTCACATTTGTGTCACATTTGTGCCATATTTGTGCCACATTTGTGCCACATTTGTGTCACATTTGTCATTAGGGATGTCAGGTGCTGCCGAGAGGGACGTGAGAGAGGCAGAGTCCAGAGCTGGGTACCAGACGTCAGCAGTGCCTGAAAACACCCAGCTCTGTGGGCTGGGAGGGGGGATATGTCACATTTGTGTCACATTTGTGCCACATTTGCGCCACATTGGTCCCGGCCCCCACCAGAAAACTGGAAATCTCAGAAAAACGGGGTTTGCAGATGTGGTGGAGGTGTCATTTTGGGGGACTCAGCCTCCTCTAGTACAACAGGGGAGGTTTAGGTTGGCCATCAGGAGGAATTTCTTCACAGGAAGGGTGATTAGACATTGGAATGGGCTGCCCAGGGAGGTGGTGGAGTTACTGACCCTGGAGGAGTTTAAGGAATGACTGGATGTGGCACTGAGTGCTCTGGTCTGGTTGGGATGGTGATGATTTGGCACGGGCTGAGCTCGACCTCAGAGGTCTTTTCCCACCTCAATGATTCTGTGATTCTTTTGTTCCTCCCTAAACTCACTCTCCTATTGTAAAAGTTGGATTTTTCCTAAAAAATAATAATTTTTAAAAAATAAATAAATAAAGAAAAAACCAAAGCAAAACGCCAGGAGGGCCAGGGCTGGAGGCACCAGGATGATTTGGCACGGGCTGAGCTCGACCTCAGAGGTCTTTTCCCACCTCAATGATTCTGTGATTCTTTTGTTCCTCCCTAAACTCACTCTCCTATTGTAAAAGTTGGATTTTTCCTAAAAAATAATAATTTTTAAAAAATAAATAAATAAAAAAAAAAAACAAAGCAAAACCCCAGGAGGGCCAGGGCTGGAGGCACCAGATGAGCACCAGGGGCTGGAGAGGGACCCCCAGATGAGGGGCCCAAGGGGCTTTGTTTGAGGACCTCATCAAAATCCATCAATATCCATCAATACCCATCGATATCCATCAATATCTGCAAGGATGTGTTAGAGATGGAGCAGGCTCTGTTCCCTGGAGCCCAGCAGCAGGACAAGAGGCAATGGGCAGAAACTGAGGCACGGTGTTTTACCTGAACACGCAGGACAAGAGGCAATGGGCAGAAACTGAGGCACGGAATGTTTTACCTGAACATGAGGAAGAACTTTGCTGTGCGGGTGACCCAGCACTGGTTCCTAGACCCGGAATAAGAGAGTTACACATCCCTGATTTGGAAGGGACCCCCCGATCCAGATCTCAGCCTTGCACAGAGCACCCCAACAATCCTGAGAGCCTTGTCCCAAGCCTCCTGGAGCTCTGCCATCCCTGAGGCCGTGACCATTCCCTGGGGAGCCTGCTCAGTGCCCCACTGCCCAGACAGGCTGTGGAATGTCCCCCACCGGGGAAATTCCAACCCCGTCCGGACACAACTCCGTGCCATGTGCTCCGGGATGCCCCTTCCTCAGCACAGAGGTTGGACCAGCCACCCCACCGCAGCCCCTTCAGCCCGCCCCATCCCGCGACTCTGCCATTTGTGTCCTTCACGCGTAAACCCCTCACGCATCCCTGCGGCTGGAGGCCTCTCACCCTCAGCGAACACGGGGCGGCTTCCCCCTGCCGAGCTCCGGAGCCGCCATGGCGGCCGAGCCCTGAGGGAGCGGGGCCGCGCCATCTTGTCGGGGGCGGAGGAAGCACCCGTCCCGCCCCGTGCTCTGCCTGCCGGGGCCGCCCGGCCCCGCCGCACTCGCCGCGGAGACCGAGGGGAGCGGAGCCGCAGCCCCCAGCGCCATTGCCGCCCTCAGCCCGCCATGGCAGGTGAGCCCGTCCTCCCGCTGCCGCCCCGAGGGAGCAGCCCTGAGGGAGCGCTGCCCCGCCGCGCTCTGCCCGCCGCGCTCTGCCCTCAGCGCTTTCCGCCCCTCGCCTCCCGCCCGCTGTCAGCTCCGCGCCGGCCCCGCATCCCCGCGGCTCGGCCCCGGCCGCCGGAGGGTCGCGGCTCCCCGCAGCCTCCACCATGTTAGCCGGCCGCGCTTCACCTTGGCCGCGCGGCTGCCGCGCCGTCCGCACCTCTGCGCTCCTCCTCTGCCTTTCATTTCGCGTTTGCGGGTTGAATAAAGCCTTCCCCGGGCTCCGCGCCGGCGTTTTCTGGCTCGGCAGCGTCTCCAGGGGATGGGGAAGGGGCGCGGGGGATGCTCGGGGTGGCACCTGCGGCGGGGTCACCTGCCCGGCCGGCAGCACCGCTCGGGCATCCATCCCCGGGTGGGGTCTTTTCTCTGTGCCGCTGAGATCATTATTATATTTTTTAAATTTTTTTTCCCCTCTTTAATCTGAGACAAAATGGGTGGCAGAGCCGTAAGCTTGCAGATGGGATGGAGAAATGCAGGTTAATTCTCCCCTGGTCCTGAAGGGGTGGCCTCGCTCTTCCTTGATCCCGTTCTCGTGATACGCTTTAAAGCTTTTTTTTCCCCCCCCCCTTTAAAAAATTATTTGCCTTTTTATTTTTCAGTGCACATCGAGGAAGTAAATATTTCAATTTTCTGGTTTTAATTTGCAAGCCCCGTTCGATATCCTGTGTGGTTTTCTTTTGTTTTAAGGTACATTTTGGGTAGGAAGAAGTGATGTACGTGGTGCAGAAAAATGCCTGAACAAAGCTTGTTGCAAGCCTATTCGGGTTCCTAGAATAAGGACTAACCACTATCATGCATTCCTGTTATTGGTGCCTTTTGCCTTTTTTCCATAAAAACTGGGAATGAGGCAGAGGCTTTGCAGTTTTATTCCATCCCTTCATTTTGGAGCCGTCGTTGTCATTTTGTAGGCAGGGGAGAGCAGCCCTTGAGGCACTTTGGGGCTCTCCTGGCCAGGTGAGTGCGGGCTGGGCTGACCCCAAAGGCAGCAGCAGAACCGGTGGAAGATTCTGGCAGGGAAGGAAATCCCCCGAGGTGTTTAAGACAAGGTAAAGACCTGGCCTGTTAATTTTTTCCGCCTTGTCATCTCCCACACGCAGCTGACTCTTGGTGTGAGTTCAGTGCCAGGTAAATGCCAGACTCCTTGTTGCTGATGAGCTTTAATTTTCAATAAAAACACCAAAACAAAACATTCATAGGGACCTTCATATGTCTGTGTGTCCTCACTGCAGCGTAGTGCTGCCAGGCTTGAGCAGGCTTTAAATTACCCAGTTTAAGCTTGAAAAAAGAGCTGGTTTGGGTAGTGTTTTTCCTGGCAGGTGGAGTTTGATGCAGGCTGTAAAACGAAGTGGAGAAGCAGAACAAACGCTGGAGTGATGAGCAGCACAGTGCCAGAGCCAGGCTCAACTGCACGCCTTATCTGCCAGGTGATTTCAGTGTAGATAAAGGATTACTGCAACAAGTAGCTCAGGTTAGCAAACTGGAAAATAATCCTTGAGATGTGTGGAACAATTGGATTAGTTGATGAGCTCTTGTACCCCTACTCCTAGCTCCCAGTCATGATCCAGATGCCTTGAAATTAGAGCAGTGTTAACATGGAGATGCACTGAAACAAATTCAACCTTGGGCTAGCAAGGAGGTTAAACAAGCCTGAGATTTTTATCATGGATTTAAACAAGCCTTTGGTTTAGTCAAGATGAGAAGAGGAGCTGAAGATGTCCTGTCAGAGCCCTGGGGACAAGAGGAGGTCACAGTGGGGTTCTCAGGGGTGGGTTGTGCTCCTGCTGGGGCTTAACTAAGATCCATCCCAGTGGCTGTCAGCCCTGCCCTGAGCCAGGCTTAGCTTTGCTGAGCTCTGGAAGCACACAGCCCTCAGCAGATGGAAGGAGCAGGATGGGAATCAGCTCCTCAGAGCATGGGCCTGTTGCTTCTTCAGCATTTTCAGCATGGAAGCAAATCCAAGGATTTGGAGGAGAAGCAGCTCCTCAGTCAGTGGCAGGATTTGGGTGTTTCCTTGGGTGACAGCAGCAATTTAAACATCCCATCCCTCACCCCCTGGCAGTGTCCCAGTCAGGGGTTAGCCCACAAAAGCCTCGTGTTCCTATGGCAGCCAGATCAGTTTGGGGAATTGTTGTGCTCTTTGCCCCCCCTGAGGCCAGGCAGACCTGAGTGTACCTCCCCAAGTCCACACTGGGTGCTGTGTGGGTGGATTCAAACCTTGCTAATATGAGAATTTCAATCTCGAGGTCGTCTGACAGGGAGTTGAATTCCAGTGGAGAAATAGAAATAATTTCTTTGTTGGTATTACTTGGTTGGAGACTTCTTCAGGGAAAGCTTGAGATAATGGCAGTGTTGGAGGATTGTTTTTTTTCCTGACAGAAAACTTTGTGGATTTCCCCCACACTTGTTTAGAAGAACCTGTAAAAAATGCTGCATTTGTATGCAGCTCCTATTTCAAATACTTACTTAAAATTAAACCGAGCTTTTTGTCTTCATTCTGTCCCTATGTTTGGGGGTTTATTTCTTCCTGGTGTAGCCAAACGTGCCAACTTCCTCAGCATGCAGGGGAGTCCTGAGGGCTGTGACGTGGCCTTGCTGTGTTGTGGAAGCTGATTGCAGACCACTGAAAGGAAAGTGGGTGAAACTGCAGGCATTGTCCATATGGATTCCTGCAGAAGTGGCTGCTCTCAGATTAAACCTCTCCTGATCCTGAGGGCAGGGGAAGGCAGCTGGCACCCCTGGGAGCTGCTCCCACCACCAGCTGATGGAAGGTGACAGAATCCTGGAGTGGTTTGGGTGGGAAATGACCTCAAAGCCCACCCAGTGTCAGGGGCAGGGACTCCTTCCACTGTCCCAGGCCTTGGACTCTTCAGGGATCCTGTGCCAGGGCCTAATCCCCCTCCCAAGGAAGGGTTTCTTCCCAGGAGGTTCTTGTTCTGCTGTAGCTGCTCCTGTCAATGTCTTTGTGTGAGTCATGTAAGAAATCTCATGCCCCAGAGGTTTCTGTTAGGGCCATTTCTTCAAGAGATTTATTTTGCTTTCAAACACTTCTTTATGTGTTTATCCTTACAGGACAACATGCAGATGGTTGCACACAATCTTTCTACTTCCATTGGAGCTGATGGTTTACATGTTGCTGGAAAATCTATTTATATCAAGTGTTATTTAGGAAGCCTCAGTGGTCATGACATGGCCTGACAACAGTTACCATGGGGGTTATTTTACTTAAAAGCTGCAGGAAGACAATATTGACAGACAGGATGAGTAAGAGACGAGCATCCTGATGCAGTGAAGGCAGGAGTAAAAGAAATCATTACAAATGAAAGTTCTTGCTGTGTTCTGCAGCCTTCCCGGGGGTGAAGTGTTTCAGGCACAGCCAGCTTCGTGGGGTGCATGAAATATTTCTGTCAGTGCTTGGGGAGCACATTTGCTTTATGGGCAGATGTTTTTAGTTGTTACGAGCTGTCTCAGGACAGGGTTTCTTTGATGGCAGGAAAGAAATCTGATGATATTTGGCTGTTTTCAGGTTGTGGGAAGGAAATGTTTGCCGCCTGAATGTTTTTCTGTTGGAGATGAATCTACACAGGGATTTCTTGCCATGGTAATTTGGCCCGGAAAGGAGCAGAGCTACTTCCTTGGAAAGGCAGTTGGGCTGTTGAGACATCGCTGGCACTCGGTGGGGAAAGAGAGGAGGAGGAGGGAGAGCTGGGCTTGTAGCTCCTGTTGTAATTCCATCCCTTCCACTCCAGTTCATCTCTGCTGGGAATTGTTTTGGGAGCGTCGGGAATTCCCGACACAGCTCCTGGGTTTCTCCAGAGGAGCCGAGTTTGGGTTTTGTGGTCCCCACTGGTGTCACCCTGGGAGCTGTGGCTGTCCCGGGGCAGGGCTGGCTTTGGGAAGGATGGATTGGCCACCAGGCCGTGCCCAGGGGCTCCCGAAGCTCCTCCAAGGTTTGGGTGTGTCCCTCCTGGCATCAAACGCTCTGTTCCCATCCCGCAGCTCCGTTTGGTTGCTGGGGAATGGCTGGGCTCGAGGTCACTGTAAAACTAGTATTTTAATGAGTTTGTAATTAGAAATTCAATGATCTGAATCTTCCCCGCGTCTCAGTTCTCAGGCCAGAAGATGCAAGTGCTGGTTAAGGAGGGGACAGGGAATGCGCTTAACATCCAAGTGTCTGCCCTTACTTACTTCATTTTAATATGACTTTTAAATAGTGTCAAGCGAGAATAAACTTTATCCTGTTTTGCTGACAGGGAATTTTCAGAGTTCCTTCTCAACACATTCAAGCAGCCAGAATATTTTATTATTCCCCCAAAATGCACATTACTAAGCAGTAATAAATCGATGTGTGTTTCTGAGAGTGTCCCAGGCACCTTGGGGGGATGGCATGGCTGGATTTTGGAGACTGGTACATCTCTGTCCTCTGAACCAGGAATGTTTTGATCTTGGATTTGCACCACAGAATGCCTGAGCACACAAGCTTTGTCTGATAGTTGTATTTTTAGGAGCAAGGGGTCCAGTTGTGGTGAAGGAGCTGTTGTCCCACAGTACCCGGGAATATCTGAACTTCCCAAGCCCTGAAAACAACACCTGACCTGCTTTCTGTGTTTGGGTTAGACCAGCGTGTGCCCTTCCTGCTCAGAGGCACTGCTTGGATTTGTCACCCACTTCATGCTCACTGTAGAGGAAATCTGCTGGAAGAATGGGCCTCAGATGAGATGAGGAAGGGGGATTGACTCATTATTTGTTGGTTTTGACTGTTGGGAAATGTGAGTCACCAAACTGATTTGGAATTTGATTTTGAATGGCTCCCTGTCCCCCAGTTCGTTGTGTGAATTTTTATTTAAATCAAACCGTTGCCGTTCCAGCAGTTGGCTGAAGGATTTTGGGAATGCAGGGTAGTGGGAAAATGAGTGAAAAGCGATTTTAGGGGGGCTCTGAAGTGCACTGACATTCCTGGGCTTTAACCTCAGCCTCGGGTGTGAGCTTCCAGCAGTCCGGGCTCTCAGTGGAGCGACACATTTTAATTGGCTTTACTCGTGTTGTGCACGGCCGTGAAGTGGCAGCCCAGGGCAATAATGGGGAGTTTAGTGGTTAGCTGGCTGTTACCCACTTGTGAGATTGTAAAAGTTAACAGAACAAAGTGCAGCTTTAATAGGAAGGCACCTTAAACGCTAATGCGCTTGGCAGTGTTTATGTGCCGGCGTGGTTAATGGGAATTTATCCCAGCCCTCTGGAAGTCCCCTGGATCTGCTGCTGGCAGTGGCAAGGAAATGCTGCAAGCCTTTGCCCACCAAGCCCAGCTTTGCTGATCACCCTGTTTTCTAGCCCAGAAGCCCCCATCTGAAGGGCTTCCTATATTTCTCATATATATAATATAATTCCTATATTCCATATATTAATATATTCCTATATTTCTCATATATATAATATAATATGCCTATATGTCTCATATAATATTCCTATATTTCTCATATAATATTCCTATATTTCTCATATATATAATATTCCTATATGTCTCATATAATATTCCTATATTTCTCATATAATATTCCTATATTTCTCTTACTCTTTTTACCACTCACCTGCAGCGTCTGGAATTCCTGAAGCTGAGCTCGGGTGCTGCTGTGTTGTGCTTTTTGCAGGGAATTGTGAATAAATGCTCTTAGCAGCACTCAAGGTCACCGAGGGGATCCCATGAAACTGGCATGTGACTGCGTGTCGTGACTCCATGTCATGACTTTCACTTTTTATTTAGGGGCTTGGGAGGGAAGTAAAACTGCACTGCGAAGTTAGCAGCCTTTTCTTTTGTGTGCTGCTTGAAAGGAAGCTGTCTCGGAGCTAATAGCACTTAATGGACTCTGCTGTGGGAAGGTTTGAATTTTTGTGGAGTCTCTGAGTCCCCGTGACAGGAAAAAACAACTTTTGCTCTGTTTATTACTTGTCCTCTGTGTGGAGAATGCTGTATCCAGACCCTCACCATACCCAGGCAAAGGAAACACATCCTTGTTTTTGCAGGCTCTAAAGCACCAGCTCTTCACAGGTTACAGCAGCTTTTTTTTCCCCCCTTTTTTCATTATTTGTGCAGAATTAATTGTTTCTGGAAAGTAACTTAAGTCTTCCTGATGCAAGCAGCATTTGCTTGGTGATATTTTTACAGGTTGGAGTTTTGGTAAAAGCTGACAGATCACGGTTTCCTGACGAGCATTTTGTTGTGTTAAGACCAAACCTAAGGAGTAATTTGGATTGAGACTGGCAAGAAAGAAATTGGAGCTGCAGGTCCCTGTTCACAGGCTCAGAGTGCAGGAAATAATTGCTGTATTCTCACACTGTTCCGTGTCCTTTCATCTCTGGGAGCAATAACAATTACCAGTCATTTGCTGATATTGGATGTATTTGCATGGGTGCCATTTAATTTTGTGTGTGGAATTTTGGGAGGTTGTGCTGAGCAGAGTCATTATTACCAACATAATTTCACAGGGCTCTGGTCTGGTTTATTCAGCCTGTTGGACACTTGTTATTTGTCATTATTTCAGCTCACTGATGGATGCTTTTAAAGCTAAAAAAAAAAAAAGAATGGATGAGGGGATGAGGGAGAGGATTGGGTTTTTTTAATACCCAATGTTGGGGGTCCTGTCAGATGTTTTCCTTGTCCATCTGTCCTGTTGGCAAATAGCAGGAAAGGCAAAGGATGGAGGGCTGAGCTCCTCTGGAGTCGTGATCCTGCTGGCGAAAACACGGTGTGAGAACCCCTCCTGCAGCAGGGGAAGAGCTGCGGCTGCTGTAAACATCCCCTGCTAATGAGCTGCTCTGCTTTGGAGGGGATCAAACACCGCTAATGCTTTTCATGGAGACGCCTAATCAGGCACAATGGAGGCGAGCAAAGCTGTCAATTAAAGCTTCTGTTCTTCATGGCTGTAAATGAGCCTGAAGGCACAGCGCTGGCTGAGCTGCCCTCCTTGGCTTTGGGAAAGATTTTGTGATCGGTGTTAGCCCGGTTTTGGAGCTCACTCAGGTACACTCCATCTGCATCTCCTCGTTATTCAAAGGGCCGAGCGTGTGCTCAAGTGCTGTTCCTTCAGATGGCAGCGGCTAAGAAGTCTTGCATTTATCTGATGCCAATTAAGTAAGAATAATTGAGATTATTTTGTTAAAAGCAGTGCTGAAGCACATCTGCCAAAGAGCCCTGAAGATGAGGCAGCCATTAAGGCACGACATTAAACCCGCAGTATATTGGTTAAAAGAGGATTGGTTTGCTGGCAGAAATCACAAAGGTAAACTAGAGGCTTATTGTACTAAATTTTCCAAAGAGCATTTTTAAAAAGTCTTCCCAAAACCAAGAGGTTTTCCTTCAATAACCTATAGCTGGTATAAATATTATTGTAAGTAGCGTGAACTCTGAAGATTTTACGATTCTTTGTGCTTTTCCTGAGCAGCCAGTTGGGTGTTAAACGGGCTGTTCCATTTCTGTCCCTTCACTGGGAGAAGCCACTTAACCTTCTTTACCAGTTCTGTTGCTCGCAGGGATATTTAATACATTAATATCTATTTAATGCATTCTTAATTACCCGCTCACACAGGCAGGGAAATCTTCAAAGCCACTGCACTAAGTGACATCCCCATCTCTGCCTGGTGACACAGGGGTGAGGTGGCAGCTGTCCCCTCCTGCTGCCCCATGGATTCAGAGGGTGCAGGGGCCAGAAAATGAACATTTCTGAGGAGGTCAGAGCTGCTCTCACCTGAGCCTGCCTCCAGCAGGACACAGCAAGTCTGGCTGAGCACAGAGACACTGCCAGGCTTGTTGTGAAATTAATAAATTAGTAATTGCTTGGCTTAACGTGTGGGAATCAAACGCAGGGCTGCTTGCAGTTGTTTGGTGTGTGTGGGCAGGGGAGTAAGGAGTGCTGCTTTGGCTTAAATATCATTAATGGCAATAATGATTTAATTTTTCCCCGGTGGCTGTGGGAAACCGAGCTGTGCTTGGTGACCAGAGCTCCTGGGGCAAACAGCTCTTGGTGGGAATACCAGCACCTCTGATTGCTAGGACAGTGAATAATGGCATCTGTTCTTGCTGTGCCTGTGCCCTGGTCGTGCCAGCTCCAGCAGAAACTTCTCCTGCTGCTGCTTTGGCTTTGGCTCCAGGTGAGAACTCCAAACCCGGCAGCAGTGCCAGGATTGCAGTCCTGGAGCCACAGGATCCTGTCCTGGGAGCCCAGCAGAGGCTCCTGAGAGCCCCTCTGGCCCTGCCTCTCTGCCTTGGAACGTTTCCTCTGCAAGCGCTGTGAATTCCCTGATTATTCCCAGAAGAGATTTTGAAGTAAATCCCAAAGGAGCGAAAGGTCACTGAGCAAGAAGGGCATAACTCTCCCAACTGGATAATTAAAACGAAAATTAAAAAGTGTGCTAAGTTGAGATTGACTTGTGGCCATGCTTTGAAGATTAAAAGGGTTTTTCATTTTGGATGCAGGAGGTTGGGATTGGTGGGAGGAGGAGCTGGGCTGCGGATTGCTGAGCTGTGAACGAGATCCCAGGATCACTGCCCAAAAACGATGGATATCTGCTCTTTCCCCCCACTTTTTAAAGCATTTAGCCTTGCAGCTGGAGTTTTCAGCCTGGTTGCTCACTGTGTAATGCAGGGTGATTTTTAGGCATCCAAGCAAATGACGTCTTGAATGAAAAAGTAAACAAATGATTTTGCGTAGAAGTGTTTTGCCTTTGGAAAATTAAAATAGCAATAGCAGCTTTGGCTGAAGGGTGGGACTCTGCATGTTCTTTGCACAGCCTGCTGGGTTTTTCTGTACATGAGTTTAGCCCACCCTTCTGAAACGATTAGCAGTCACAAAAATAGGGAGAGAAAGGTGAAATATGAGTGTGCAAACTGGCTGTGTGTAGAATTGGGACTGGGAGGGACCTCAGAGCCCATCCAGACCCACCCCGTGCCTTCAGGGACATCTCCCACTGTCCCAGGTGCTCCAAGCCCTGGCCTTGGGCACTTCCAGGGGTGGGGATTCCGGGAATGCACGAGGTGATGATGTGTTGGGATGATCCGGGAACACACCAGGTAATGACTTTAAGGTTCATCACCTCTCAAAGGCTGCTGCTCAGCCTTTGCTTCGGTCTTTTCTTGGAAGACAAAGGATTTGAGCTTTTGCCTGTAATTACAGAATACCTGGAGCTCCAGGAAGGGAGTCTGACTTAGTTTATTAACAGGGTGAATAGAATAACAGGTCCCAAAAAGCACATTTTTCTCCAGTAATTTTGGAAGTGCTTTGATCTCTGCCTATGGAGTGCAGGGCTGTGGCTTCACTATTCTTCTGTTGTTCTTTCTTGACAATGATTCCTTATTTCTTGCCCAGAAATCAGCCACAGGTATTCTTAAAGGCACTTCCCTCTTGTAATTTCCCTTTTACACACAACTCTGTGTCTGCTTTGATGTACATCTCAGATCTTGGGTTCTTCTTGCAAGTATTTAAAACTATACTGTGGTAGGAGAAGTCCTAATAAACACCTTACCAGTACAGGCTGTAGATGAATTAGAGATTTAAGAACAGAAGTTGGCCACAAGCTGGAAATGTGGGATTCCTTGGCCATGGATTGCCCCAAGGTGTCCTTTCTCTGGGAGAGGGGGATTTGGGGGCTCAGGGGGACACCCTGAGCAGGAGCCAGGGCTGGGCATCGCTCCCTGCATTACCTGGGGAGCTTTCACAGCAGTTCCAGTAATTCTGGTGTTGCTTTGAGTCAGCACTAGATGTTTTCATATTACAGCAGATCTTCTGGTAAGTGCTTTTTCAATTCATAATTCAATAATTTATAAACATCACTGGAAGTTCAGACTTAATCGCCGAGTCTCTCTGCCGTTCCCAGCCGTGGGTGGAAGGGGATCTATTTATTGTGCTCGTGTGTGATGCTATTTTCTGGCTTTGCTGTATTATGTTAAGTGTGTTCTGGAGGATGTTCATGGCAGGCTGCTGATTAAATAAGCTGATGTAAAAGATCACGTATTTGCTGTGGCTTTGGGAGGAAGGAACCTTAAATTAGGAGATGGCTGCAGAAATGTAGTGAGGGGGCTCATTGAGCTGTCAGAAAGGAGCTCCAGCTCACCCTCAGGATGTAACAGGATGTTCTTGCAGGGAAGCTGTGCCTCTCCCTGAGCACTGCTGACTGCATCACTCTTCCTTCTGGGTGTTTTTCTTGTTCTTGCTGAAGGGTCAAAGGAGGGATTTGGTTAGCAGGTGTTTGCAGTGCCTGGGTTGTATTATTGTCATTTTGGTGATGGGACATAACCATTGTGTGGCACCCCTGTGCAGGGGGAATAGGGGGCTTCTGAGAGGGATTTTATCTTGCCCAAATGCTGCAAAACTGCAGAGAATAAATCCTCAGAATAACTATTCCAGCTGGGAACACTGTCAGTAGTTTACCAGTGTGTGTCCAAGCATTTGGCTGGAGCACTCAGAAGTGTTGGTTCATCCTCAGACTGAACACTTGAGTGTCTGAGAAGGCAGAAAATTGGATTTTCTTGTAATAATGAGAGTGAACTCCTCCTAGGAGTAACATTTCCAAGCAGCAGGAATACTTCCACCAGTTTGCATTTGAGATATTAAGCAGGAAATAAAAATGGGACCACCACGACCAGGCTCCCTGGGCTGAAGCAGGCTGAGATAAAT